CCCCCCCCCCCCCCCCCGCTTTGCTAAGGAGACACGGCTTTTCATTGTTTCGATACCAAAGAACCGTTTCCTTTGCCCCCGTCAGGCCCACCCTGTGCCTCAGAGCAGTCCTATTGCTCTGACCCCACAGGGCTCAGTGGGCAGTGCAGCCGCAGCTTGGCCTCTCTCAGGCTCCTCCCTCTCCTGGCCCTCAACTCGGTTCTCCTGCCAGGCTGGCTCCCCGAGCTACTCTGAGGAAACTATTTGGCTTCCTGCTCCAAGCCCAGGGCATGGGGTTTTGGGGGGGGGGTCGCTCTCCTGCAGATGGCCTGGTCACTGAGGGTACCAGGAGGCATTCTACAAAGGACCCCACTGCAGCCCGTCCACCCACTTCGATCTCAATTTGAACACACCCTGGGGTGAGTCCCACTGTCCTCAGGCTGCCCCCCACCTGGTGGGCGAAAAGGAGACTTTCAGGTAGATGCATGTCAGGTGTCCTGTGTGTAGGAGATTGTGCTGTGTCCCCGCATCTCGGCCTCTCTTAGGGACCGACACCCTCTCTAGTTTCTGGATTTCCAAGTGATGGTGTTGTGAGGCCATCCAGGCTGGGATGGGGCTTCCCAGTTAGTTGTACCTGGGTGGTTTGTGTGAGATTGAGTCAACAGAGGGAAGCCCCAGTGGCTCTCCTGGGGGCGGGGGGCAGGGTGGGAGAGGGCAGGTTTCTGTGCAAGTGAAGGAAGGTATATGGCTGCCTGGGACCAACAGCCTTGTGTGTGTGGCAGAAGGGTCCGCCACACGCGAGGGCTTACAGCCCACATTGCCTGCAGCCAAGGGTGGGTGAGGAAGTGGGACTGCGCCCAGAGGGCACTCCTTGTAGGAGGTACAGGTATGTCTGGGTTGCCCAAGAGGACTGCTAACACCTCCCAGCCCTGTGATGTCACCTTGCAGCCCGGGGCAGCCAGGAACCCTGGTGAGTTTCAGCTGCCATGGGGTTGCCACAAACCTGTGGCATCATCTCTCTGGGCCACTGATTTACAGAGACACCAGTGGTCTGTCTCCAGGACCCCCTGCCATCTTGGCATCCTGACCTGAGCAGGTGGAAGTGCCACCTCTACGGCTGTGGGGGCAGCCGGGCAGTGCAGACCCAGCTGCCCGCTCCTTCTCAACCCCACTCCCTGCGAACACTCCATTCTCAGTTCACCTAAAGTGAGACATTGCAAAGATAATAAAACTAATTTTTTAAGAGTGGAGTGAGAGGTGTTTTTACCACTGTTGGAAATGACTTCCATGTCACTTTTGTGGTCTGCGTTCTCTTTGGATATTTTCTGTATGTAACTATAGTTTTAAAAAAATTCCAACCCATGTTTGTCTGTGTTTCTTTATGAGAAGACCGCCTCATGGGCTTCCCTGGGCTCTGCTAGTCTCCCAGCCAGGGCTCAGCCTCTGTCCCTGCTGGCCGCCAGCCTGTGGCCTCCCCACCTCAAGCCTCCAGCACCACCTTGTATACACATATCCCTGTCTGATCAGTGGGGAAACTGAGGCATGGAGCAGTTGGGTCCTCTGAAGGGTAATCGGGCCCCAGGACCTGGGCTGCCCTGAGAATGCTGGTGTTGCAGGGGGAGCCCGGCCACACCTTTCCAGCAGCTCTGTCCATTCAGCTGAGCCAGTCTCCTTCCTGGCCTTGCTCCCCCATAACCAGGCCTGCCTGGGTTCCCAGCGGAGCCCTGCACCCTTCAGAAGAGGAGGAGGGTCTCCAGGTCTAACTTCCCACCTCTGGCAGCTCCTCAGGCTTGACCTCGCCCCCACCCCTATGGCCTAGGCCCTAGGCACTGGCCCAGGGTAGCCTTTCTTGGACTCAAGGACCCATCTGCCCTCCACATCACTCCCTCCTTAACAGGCCTTGTTGTCCACCACTGGGTGCAGCTTTACCCCACTGCGAGTCTTCTGATTTCCACAGAGAAGAAACATGCACCCCTGCCTGTGTGGGTCGGTTGGTTGGGCGTCATCCTGTGCACCAGGAGGTTGCCAGTTGGATTCCTGGTCAGGGCACATGCTGGGGTTGCGGGCTTGATCCTCCGTAGGGGCCATGCAGGAGGCAGCTGATCAATGTTCCCTCACATTGATGGTTCTCTCTCCCTCTCCCTTCATCTCTCTAGAAACCAATGAACTGTTCTTTTTTAGAATAATAAACACGTCCATCTCCCACTCCTTCCTTCCATGCCTCCTCTGGGGCCTTTGGGATGCCAGCCATGGCACCCGGTGCCCTGGGCATGCCATGGGGCAGGGACTGAGCCCCAGGCGTGGCAGGTGCTGGAATCTCCCAGCCTGGGCCTGGATGCACCAAGCCGGAGCAGCCAGCACCGCGCGGGGCAAGTGCCACTCCTGCCGCCTCTCAGCACAGCCTGGATCTGCAGCTCTAACGGAGAAACACCTCCCTCCCCCGGCAGCACCGAGTTTGAGTCTCCAAAAGGGTCGGTAGTGCAGCCACATTCAGGGCTCGTCGGACCACGTGGATGTGCACAAATTCTCAGCCTGCGGGTCACAGATCACCTCCTGCATGAGGACAGTGCCCCCTTAGGAAAATTCGCACCTGTGGTTGGTTTGCTGTGTGTGTGTCGGGGGACGTCTGCGGGGCCCGGGCGGCGGCGGGGTACCTCCGCATCCAAACGACCCTGAGTCCTGGCAGGCGGCCGCCCTCTTCCCGCCCAGCAGCAGCCAGACTACAGCTCCCGGGATGCTTCGGGCGGCTGGACTACACTTCCCGGGATGCTCTGCGCCGAGCGGGGCGGCTGGGCTTG